ATATTTTATCATTGCCGCGAATAACTCTCGCTGAAACAAGGGTAGAAACATACCTGATGATGCGATCTAAACGGATCCCATCCGTTTGTGGAACCGATGACAACGATGCGAAAAACAATTTACGTGTTTCACAATGATATAATGACATAAATCTTATAATCATTGTCACTTTATTTTATCTTGATGATCCGCACGCACGCCTTTGGTGCGCGGCCAATTATCACAGCTCTATTCATAAGTCACCACGTGTCTCGTGGAAAAGACGAATCCCTTTAGCATTCCCCAAAGGAAATTATCGCACTTGTTTCAGTCCGGTGGTCGCGGTAGCCAGTTATGGAGACAATTATTTCCTCACATTGTCCATTTATTTACTAACTGTTTGTTTAAAAGTCTCTTAAAGAAGCATTAAAATGGATAGTATTTCATCACGCATAAACAAGTTGTAATCTTCTGGAAAATCAACCAAAATCACAATTTAAGCTCTCTAAATGAGGCTAAATAGTGTCTAAACTTGCAGTTTTCACAGTTCATTTTGGCATCAATTACCCTTCTTGTCATCTGTGAGCAAAACGTGTACGTTATTCAGACTCAGAAATACAGAGACCTGCATTTAATAATCTTATAAGTTGAAATTTTTTCAAATGGAATCACCCATATTGATTGTCATGAATGTATGCAAAATTGAATGCCCTTTCGACTGATATAAGCTTGCCCATACTTATCTCTAACAGTTTTTCAGAAATATCAGGTTCTTTTCTAATGTCCGAAAAAGTAACATGTAACAGCGTCAAGAAGGCCTTGTAATTGTATTAGTACGACGTCGATACATAGAATTTTACAAAAGCATAGCACAGCACATCCTTATTGCATCCAATTACACCAAGAGTTACTAAAAGTAGAGCGGAGCGGAGACTGGAATTTTGTCAGTGGGTACTAGAGATGTTAAATCAAGATGATGATTTTTTTAAACGTACACGTTTTGCTCACAGATGACAAAATGGAGTAATTTATGTCAAAACCAACTGTGAAAACTGCAACTTTCTAAATCTTACGGTTTAAATGCTATCTAGCCTCATTTAGAGAGCTGAAATTGTGTGTTTTCTCAAAAACAACTGATTATCTCGTAAAGCTAAAAATATTTTCTTTACATGGCCCACATCATTTCAGACAACTTTTATTAAAACATTGTTTTATAAATTTTACAGTTACAAGAGTTGCAGAAGAATCCCTCTTAGGTGGAACACCCTGTATGTTATCAACCCCAATGTTTGTAACTCAATTTTTTTTATTTTATAGTACACATTCTAAATTTCTAAATATTACTGTGTTATAATCTTTTTCTTTTGTGAGGTATCGCGTGCTAAAATGAATGGTAAATGCAGTTGGTAATTAACAATTTTAAGCGAGTATTATTATGGTTTTTATGACAAGCAAAACAAAAAATATTTTTACGATTCAGATCTCACCTGGCGTAATAAATGTAAAAAGAATAAAAACTGACATGCATATTTATTTTAAATGTAGTTGCGTGAAGTAAGTCTAATTCTTATTTTTTTAAATTATCAAAATATTTCAGATTTTATTCTGTCATTAAATATCCTATTTGTCTTGTGATTATTAAATATATACGAAAATCTTCTATTTCTAGTTATTATTAGCTCTTAGATGAGACTGTCAAATAATTTTAAAAGAAACGAGCAAGTGGTGTTGAATCCGCTAAACGAACCGCCTACTTTCAGTGTAATAAACGAAAAATTTTATTTAAAAAAATATTTCTTGGTGTTGATTAACGAAGGGATTTTGTTGGGTTAAGAATAAATGTGTGGAGTTTATGAAACCTCACCGAAGAAACTTTTTCATCGTTTTTCGTGTAACTTTTTATTTTTCATTCATAAAACAGTTACGGTATTTCATGTTTAGGTTTTGAAATGAACTTTGACAAAAAGTTCTAGAGAACTCGTCGAAATTAAAGGGTTCAGGGCCATATAATTAGTTTATAACCGTCTTTCAGCCTAAATTTATGCTTGGAGTTGAAAATTCTCCTTCCTTAAGGATTTTTTTAAGTGCTGACGTGCTCCGGATTCAAAGTATGCAAATAAACAAGAAAGACATTGGCATTCCGTGTTATATATTACGAAAAGCTCTTACGGAACTAAATATAACATAAAGTGTGAGTGTGAGATAATTCTTTTAATACCAACTTACTTTTATTAAATCAGCGGAATTCGTTTATTGTTGAATTCGCGGAAAATTTGTAAACCCTGGCGACTTCGCCACAACTGATAATGCTTTTACTGCCTCGAGTAATTATCCGAAGTGGCAATAAAATTATTTTTAAAATTCTCTAAGCAGGATTCGCCCTATGAAGGTGTAACGTGACTTTAGTTGACATGTCGGATATCGGAGTCAGAATTATTAGGGGAGACTGGTCAAATATTTATATGGGTAATTTACTAACTTTGTATCTGAAATAAAAATATGACAAGACCTGTATGTCATTTATCAGTCCTGGTAGATGCCACAGTTAATAGGACTACACATCTGAATTTCCCACAAAAAATGTCGTAACAATGTTTGAAAAATACATCTCTTTTCATTTTCCAAAAAAAAAAATAAAGAAGTAATGAAATTAGAAACGAAAATCAAATGGTCAGTTCTTCGTCGATAACCTCAAAACGAAAAAGATAGGTCAAATTTCTCTTCGGCAAGTTGTACCTATCTCTTAAAATAAGAGAGATCCCAATGGGGCCGTTCGAAAAACACGCCGAGAATAAACGGAATAAAGAAAATCTACTCCTTTAAAGAGAAGTGGCAGATATCTTATTGTTTGAGGTATCTTAAAAATTGTTGCATAATAATAATAAATATCTAAATCATATTTCAATCTTACATACACATAGAAAACACTGTCATAAAAATTCACAGAGTTATTCCTAAAATCGTGATTAAATTGTATCAAACTTCGGACAATATCGTCTGAAAATTAGAGAAAATCTACAATTTGTTAGTAATAATTTTACAAATGTAAAAATAATCACCATGTAAATGTATAATTTTCACACAATTTCAATAACAATTGTGTGAATTTTCATGACACTGTTTTTTTCGTGTAGAATTATTTAAAGATCACATGCTACGTGAAAGGTAATTTTAGTGAAAAATTGCAGCTTTTCATCCCCTACTTTCTATTTTTATCTAATTTTTAAAAATGTTTCAAAAATATTGATGAACTTGTAAGATGTCACAAAAACATGATATACTGTGTGGACCATTTTGGAGATGCAGGTATTTTGCAAAATGTAAAATATAGGAAAACGGTTAGATGAGGAAAGTTTTAGACAGTTCTGTCGCTAACTTAATGGCGCTTGCAGACCGGTCCCAGCTGTTCAGGTTTTTGAGTTATTTTGAAAAAAGTTCGAAAATCGTCTGTAACTTTTTTATTTAGTAGAATTTTTTAAATTTGAAAAAACTTTTTCACAGCAAGTTTTTTCGAGGAATTACACTGTATATTTAGTTTTCATCATCACCAACATTCTTTTTTCTTATGGGCACTATATTGAATTTTAAGCTCAACAAATATAGCATTCTTTTGGCTTTTCAGTGATGTAAGTAAGTAAAAATTTCAAAAATGCCAAAAATCAATATTTTAATATTTTTAAAAAATCTGGCTACGCGGCATAATTTTACGAAACTACTATAGAATAGTCTCAAATTTCTTTAAAAGCTTACATTAATGTTGTAACGTTAAGTGAAAAAATTACGTTTTGCGTTATTCCAATAAAGAAAAATGTGATATGTTGGAATGCTCTATTAAAAATAATAGAAAAGTAACTGTGTTTTAAACAGTTTTATTGGAAATTATTTCTAAAGACAACCACCAAATGAAATGTATTTTTCTCAATTTATTACAAATTTGAGATTTTTTGGAAGTTTTCAAAAGCTACATGCTATGAACTATGAAAGAGATAATAATAACTGGGACAATAATAACGTTTTTGTTCATTGGAATAACACAAAGATTTTAAAAGAAGTGTCTCTCTAACTGTTAACAATAAACTCTATGATTAACAATAGTTCAAAATGACAAGCAGTTTGAAACAAATGAAAAGATTATTATCGTCATGGAGATTCATTCAACGCCATGACACTAATGATTAGCTTTTACAAAAATTTTAAACTATCCTACATTTCGAAAATTTATGCGGTGTTGCCAGATTTATTATTTATTATCAGAAATTTTAAAATATTGACTTTTCGAGATTTTTTTAAAAATTTTTTCATATATTATATCATTGAAAAGACAAAAAATGCTCTATTTGCTCAGGTTAAAATTCATTATGGCGCCCATAAGGAGAAAGAAAGTTGATGATGGTTTCTCGCAACTGGAACGTCGCAATGAAAATCTAAATGTACAGTGAAACTCCTGTGAAAATGTGTTTTCAGATTTTAAAGATTCCTATAAATAAAAAAGTTACAATTTTCGAAAACGCCACATTTACTTTTTTCAAAATAATTAAAGAACCTGAAGAGCTAGGATCGGTCTGCAAGCGCTATTAAGTTAGCAACAGAACAGTTTTCTTCATTTAACCATTTTCCTATCTTTTATAGTTTCCAAGATACCAATACCTAGATGCATCACCAAAATGGTCCACACTGTATAATTAAAAAATACATATTAAGCTCTTGCCACCTTCTCTGCAATTCGGCAGCCATCCACCCGTTATTTATTTTTGCCGAGGTGGCACTTTTTTCACGACAGACGTGCACAGAATGAAGCCGTCTGAACTGAACCCGTCGAGACGCAGTACACTACATTATGCAAATAAAAAAAAGCAATTCGCATTCCATGTTTCTATATTGCGTAATTTGCGAGGGGCGGTGACGGATCACGCGGCATGCTTTGAACTCTGCGACTATATCGCGAGGGGGGCATCAAGCACGGCAAGCAGCTGGATAATATTGGCGGAGGGTATCAAAGCGGGCCGAAGGGCACAGCTTACTCTGTTCCTCTTCATCCATCGGTGGTGGGCCTCCGTCTGCTTGATGCGGTGTTGCCGCGCTTCCTCGGAGAGCGAACAGCGTCTCCCTCGCTCGCGCTCCTGCCATGCTGCCCGGCCCTGCGAACACTGATATACAAAATATTGGTTGGGGGACTGTACGGGAATCAGGCTTTATTATTTATCACATGAGAAATATCTATAATATCTATATGCATAATCTCTAAGCATCGTAAAATGGGCAAACCGTCACAAAATTTTTCCCATCGCTCATTTTCGAGGGTGCTGAACATGAGTCTGAAGCCATTTTTATGTGGTCGGACCTAGTTTTTGATAAAAACATTCTAAGTTCTAACCAGGACATTTGACACAGCAGCACAATTTATAACACTGTACACTTTATGTATCCTTAAGAACTCTTGTATTGTAAAATCGACATATTTTAATAAATTTGGATTAAACAAATAGGCATTTAATATAAAACAATTATTTCTTAGTTCTATCCTCCGTTTCCAGTTCTTGAGGTCATACGTCATGTCAGTCTCTCGTTCATCTGTGATTATCCGAAATAAAGTTACAAGTACAAGCACCACCAATATACAGGGTAGCCCATCGAAAATGTACCGCAAGGCATTACAGGGTAGTAAAGAACTTTTCGGCAAAATCCAAAAACAGGTCAAAATTTGTTTCTGAGGGGGACAACTTTTGGCTTAAAAAGCATACCAAAATCTTCAACCCCCTAAGTGGGGGTGCTATCCCCTAAATTTTTTCAAATGGGAATGGGGGTCAAGTGGGGGGTCATTAGAAAGGGCTTTTAATTCTCTATACATCGATTCTTACTTTTTGAAAATCGATTCATTATTTTAGAAAATATGCAGCTTTGAAAATACGAACAATATTTTTGACGAGAAATGCGAAAATCGATTTAATTTTACTTCAAAACTTACGGTATTAGTCAAGTAAATGCTGAAAATGTTGTCCGCCAACTTGCATACAATGATACAGGTTGTCTTCAAACCGTTGTCGAACATTCTGGAGCACTTGCGGTGTTACTTCGCGACATACATTAATGATTCGTCCTCGCAGATCTTCCAAGGTATCAGGTGGAGTGCTGTAAACTTTGCTTTTAATGTGCCCCCAGAGAAAGAAATCTAAAGGATTTAAGTCGGGTGACCGAGGGGGCCACTCAATTGCACCTCTTCGTCCTATCCAGCGTCCTGGAAACGTCTCATTTAGGTAATTGCGCACATTGAGCGAGTAATGTGGAGGAGCTCCGTCTTGCTGGAAAATCAGTTCGTGTTCATTGTAAGCAGGGTCGTCCTCTATGATATTTGTTAGAGCTGGGTCGATGACATTTTGTAGTAAATCCAAGTACATATCGCCTGTCAAATTTCCAGGAAGGAAAAAAGGACCTACAATGGAATTTCCAAAAATACCTGCCCATACATTCAACTTCTGGGGGTGTTGGGAGTGTGTCTCATGGAAAATCCTTGGATTGGTATCAGCCCAGTAACGACAATTATGGCGATTCACTAAACCATTCAAGAAGAACGTACACTCGTCCGAAAAACACACATTAAAGAGGAAATTATCGTTTATCGCTCGTTCAGTCATTATTTCGCAAAATTGCAAACGACGATCAAAATCGTCTTCATTTAGCTCTTGCACTAGCCGAATCTTATAAGGATGGAATTTGTATTTTTTTAATATTCGTTGGACACTTGTACGACTCACTCCTGTCGCAGTAGCCAATTGCATTGTACTCAGCGTACTATCCATTGCCACTTGCCCCAATACCGCTATTTCCGTAGGTTCATTTAGTACCGGATTTTCAACCTGCCTCTTTTTGTTATGAACGGAGCCAGTTTCGCGAAATTTGGCCACCAATTCGCGAACAATTTTTCCAGACGCATGTTTCTCAGGATGCCGTTGGTTGAACAGTTCGGCGACCCGATTTCCGCATTCATTGTTTTTGAAAAAAAGCTCAATAATTTCTACTCTTTCTGGAATTGAGTACACCATAATTAATCAATTTAAAAGACTCGGCAGTATTGGTACTCTTCAACTACAAGTCACAAGACAGTTATCTAGCAACTTCTTGTGGCCTATCTAAATACGAAACAAAAAGCGGACAATTTTTTGCTCACCAAAATCAGGCTAAAGAATTCGCAAATCAGAAAAAAAAAAGCGAATTCTTTTGAAGGAATTTACCAAGCTAATACCGTAAGTTTTGAAGTAAAATTAAATCGATTTTCGCATTTCTCGTCAAAAATATTGTTCGTATTTTCAAAGCTGCATATTTTCTAAAATAATGGATCGATTTTCAAAAAGTAAGAATCGATGTATAGAGAATTAAAAGCCCTTTCTAATGACCCCCCACTTGACCCCCATTCCCATTTAAAAAAATTTGGGGGATGGCACCCCCACTTAGGGGGTTGAAGATTTTGCTATGCTTTTTGCGCCAAAAGTTGTCCCCCTCAGAAGCAAACTTTACCTGTTTTTGGATTTTGCCGAAAAGTTCATTACTACCCTGTAATGCCTTGCGGTACGTTTTCGATGGGCTACCCTGTATATATATTCTCAAGGGCAGCAGAAAAGTAAAATTTTTATAAAAATAAATTCTTTTAATTATTATGTTCATTTGGCCAATAACATATTATAGTAATTTAACATAGTAAATGAAGTAGTAGTAGTAATTAGTAGTACAGTGAAGGTTAAAATTAGTTATTGCAAAAATAGATACTATATTTTATTAAAATATATTATTGCACCTTGCCAAGAAAGGATGAGGAAAAGTTGGGTTAGGGAAGTGAATATGGATAGAGTCCTCTATAACAGTTTTTGATTAAATATACGGGGTGTTCCATTGATAAAAACCAAGTTTTGGCGGTTCAAAGTTAAGCAAATTTCACAATAAACTTTCACCACCTGTGTAAAATTAAACAGTTTTTAAAATAACTGCAACAAAGGAAAGGCATCTCCCTATATCTCTTTCAATTACCTTAACTTGCACAATATAAAAATTAGGCATTTTTGAATTAGGCTATCGAAAAGCAACTTTTTTTTAAAGAATTGCAATATCTTAAACACCATTAGAGATAGACATAGGGAAGCTTGATAAAAGTATCCCTAAAATTACCCAAATAGTATACAAAAATATATAGGGTGTTCCATTTAAAATAAGCAAGTAGATGTCGACTTCCGATATAACCGGAAGTGCTACAACAATGGCATTATTTTATTTAAAGAGAGCACCCTGAAAATCCCAGGTACCAAATTTTCAAAATTCAAATCGAAGTAGTATCTGAAATATTTTAATGGGCCGTCACCGTAAGACAGCCTGTATTATTAGCCATAAAAGTTAATGGAATAAATGTTTTAATTTAATTTATTCAAAAATGTTATTTTTCTGTTTATCTTAAAATATATTTACGGTACGTAGTAACCTTATTTCGAACGATCACAGATGGGCAAGTTCGACTGGACTATTACATGATTGACATGATGTATGACGTCACGAATTGGAAAAATATGTGTCTCAATGTTGATCTTACAATACAGGTTTTCTGGAAACTACCTAAAATGTACAATGTTGGTCCTCACAATAATGACTTCAGAATCATGCTCAGCACTCTCGAAGATAGGGGGTAGGAAAAATTTGGTGACAGTTTGAGCCTTTTACACTATAGTAAATAATTACCTAGTATTTTTCGTGTACACTGTGGCATAAATAAATCGTACACTTATTGCTATCTCCCAATGCAAAACATAGTTAAAACATCTTATTTTTTTATATAAATATACATATAAAGAAAGGGCTCCTGATCTATTTTTTAAGTTAATTGAAGTACCTGATAATAATAAGGGCAATATAAGTAAAAAAAGGAGCAGTAATTCGAAAATGGTTCTTTTATCAAATAAAATGCTAATAAAAATTAAAAGCAAACTTTCTGCAGTATCCAGTGGCGTTGAATTTCTGGGTTACCTAGTGACCCCAGTATCTCCGCTACTGGTTGACAGATGTATATTTGAATTTACAAAGCTTTTACCTCAAATTAGATAAATAATTACCCAAGTTTTGTTAGTCCATGTTACACCTTCAGAGATATTTTAAACCTCTGTATACTTTATTGTATTTCAAATAAATCAGTTTTATTTCAGAGAGCGTAATTTGCATGTTATATTAATTACATGTATTTCAGCAAACTCACAAAATAGAAATTGACACGAAAATTCCCAGAACTATACATATAGTAGAGTATTACCGCACTTCTGATTATATGTTGTACTAAAATTAAAATATTATTTGAAAATGCGAAAAACTTTATAAATAGTAGGTAGCTAGTGTTGTCACATGTCATATTTTCGTTTTTAAAACAATAATTGTTAAGAATATATCTATTTACAATATCTGACATAATTTATGGGGATGGTTTACTAAAATTATGTAGATTTTGGTGGGTCTTTCCCTTGTTCCTGTTGTATTTCAAATAGTCAGTTTTAATTAAAAAAATATATAAAATGTAATTGAGTTATTTCATTTCTATTTTCAGAATGTGCCACATGTGCACAGTGGTAGATTTTCGATAGTTTTATAGGGTACAGCCAAAACGGTGATAGATACAAAAAATTTGATATCGATGTCTCATCCTTTTTTTTGAGTTTACTTCGCTAGTACCAAAAGATCCTGGCTAACTTAATTAGTTTTAGATACACAGAGTTTTTTTGAAAAATCGCCCGTTTACTTTAACTTCTCTATCTCCGTTGTCATTAAAATTAGAAGAAAAAAGTATCAACTTTATTTGTTCTATTTTTCACAAATAGCACAGTTTCTCCGACATTAGATTAACATAGATTTTTTTAAATAGAAATGATTCTGTAAATGTCCCATTGAATAGCATTTTTTTACCTTTTCAGCCATATATAATAATAGATACTTTTTATATGCCTAAATGAAGAAAAATATTAAAAATGTATAAATATGTATTTTTTCAGTCGGCCATGTGATTTATTTAGTATTCGTCTTTTGTTGTTTAATATGGACAGTTAATTTATTTTTGGCTGATTGAAATCTTGTTGAACGACTATTACTTGGTTTTATAAATTTTAAAAGATGTAGTATTTAAAAAACCTATGTTTATGTAATATCGGAAAAACTGTGCTATTTGTAAATAATCTGAGTACGCCAATAGCTTCAGCATAAAAATAGAACAAATTATGTCCAAACTTTTTTCTTCTAAATTTAATGACAACGAAAATATAAATGTAAATGGGCGATTTTTCAAAAAATCCTGTATATCTAAAACT